GATTGCTTTGCCATGATTAAAAAAATTAATCAATCAAATCAATTAGATTAGAAGAGTATAAAAGATTTAAAATTTTAACATAACTATACAGCTTATTTTTATTTCAAACAGAAGTAAAAACTTATAAATAGAAAGGGGATTGATAACTCGATAAAGCATTCTAATGAAAAGAACTCAGACTTTAGTAAATTTATTTTTGCTAGTACAAAGTATATGCATGCAGTAATGCTATTATATCGATCCTGTGTACTGTTTAGACAGCTATTGGGAAATAAATTTGATTTGCTAAACTGAGTATAGCATTAAAAATTAAAAAAAATTAATTTGGAATTTAAGGAAGAATGGGAATTCATTTTCCATAAGCGGAAATTATCTACTAAATTTATAACTGAAATCCTGATCTTAGTTACAAGTACGTCGTTTTGCTACATCAGTTGCTACTTTAAAATTTTACGCATATTTTCAAGAGCTTAATTGAAATGGCAAAAAAAAAAACATCAAAATTAAGAAATGAATTTATAATTGTTAATGTATAGCCCATGTATAGGAATTTAATTTTCCAGCGATGACGGGTTTTAGGAAGTACATTTTGAAACATTGCACAGTAACAGTTTGAAATGAGATCCTTAAATATAAGGAATTTACTTGAAATTTTATTATTAAATACCATGGTAAAATTTAATTTTTGAAAACTATGAAATAATTATTTTAGGTAAAGAAAGAAAATAATTTAAAAGATATTTCAGACTGTTATATGAATAAAATATTATACATTATTTTCAATTTCATTTAATGAACAAATTTAACGGGCTTTTAGTTAATAATTGTATCATAAGCCGACATATACTGATCCCAATCTGTATTTATTTATTTTAAAATTTCAGACAACATTTTTATTGATTGAGTTTAGATTATAATTATACCATTTAGTAATATTATAGCTTTAATAACATCATTAAAATATATCCATTACCGTTAAAGCGCGAAAGTCGTTAATGTGTACTTAGCTAGCTGCAGATTAGCTGCATTTAGCTGCAGATTAGCTGCATTGTTTCGTTAAAGTGCGGAATCAAGCGTTTTCCGCATTTTACCTAGGTAATGTGCACATTAGTGTCTTCCGTATCGTTAAGATTCCAAAAGTTTTTTTCTTTAATTTCATTTCCCTCTCCCTCCCACTTGCACATTACCTACTACTCGCTCGTTAATCTGCATATTGCCTACTAGGCGCTCGTTAAACTGAAAATAAGATCTTTGCTGGAACAACAGGAACGTTTCTGCACGCTTAAATTAACATAATGTTATTTAATTCAGAAGTAAAACAACAAAAATCAGCGTTAAATTTTCAAATTTCCATAGTGAAAATTTGAAAATATAACGCTGATTTTTGTTGTTTGATTTCTGAATTAATATTTGTTCGGCGTGTTATTGTATCTTAATAATGTTATTTACTTATTTTTCGATATCTAAAAAATCACACTGATACTTACAAACAATCAACAAATTAGTTGACAGAGTCAATAACCAATCAATTAAAACACTATAATACAACAAATAAAACGATTTAAAATACTATTACAATTATGGAAATGAATTCGCAAAACTTATGATAAAATTATGCTCACTTATTAGTGCAATCTAAAGATTAATGGCACTTTGAATTACGTAACAGCTGGACTTTTCGACAAGCACACCTATTTGTGATACGTTTAAATTTGCAGTAACATTTTCTGAAATCCTACCCGATCAACAATTTAAAAATGGTAGCTGTTTTAAGCGTACAGAAATGTTGCTGTTGTTTCTAGTAGGTAATGTGCAGATCATCTAGCTAATTTGCAGATTACCAGAATTTGAGAAATGAAACAATTTCCTACGCTTTAACGGATCACCCTAGTTAATCTGCAGATTAGCTAGATTATTTGCAGAATATCTATTTCTGCACTTCAGCGGTAACATAATAAAATATGTAATATTTAAAATTTCTTTTAATAAGGTCACTATGTAAACTGATTTGTTCGAAAGCATTTTAAAATTAAATCGAAACAAACTGGTGTGTTGAATGAGCCATCCATCTACGTTTTAATTTAAATAATGCTATATAATTAAAAATATTTTTAAAGTCTGATAAAATTATTTGAAAAACACTGAAGCTTCTTTAAATAAAATGCCTTAGATTTAAAGTACGTTATTTTACATAATAAGAAAAGATTTGAAACTGCATGAAAAAAAACCAATCAGTAAAAATTTAAGTTATAGATTAATTCAAATTCCTTGGTATATATGGATGCTCCCCTTTTCACCTTATAGCAGTCATGAAATTTTAATTATCCTTGATTCTGGCATTTTTGGCATTACTTTATCCATTCCAATTAGTCCTGTCAACAAAGACCCTTGCTTTATTAATTTAACTCAGAAGATCAGAAATCTCAGGAATCAACAATTCATTAATTTAGGAGCTTCCATCGTCTGGGATGTTCTACCTTGCTGTAGAGATGTAGTTGACCCTTGGTCTTTTGAATCGTTATACAAAATGATTAGAGGAGCTTAGACGAAATAGTTAAGATTAGACTGAATTAGTTCAGATTAGACTGAATTAGTGAAATTGCGCATGTATTTGCTCACTATTAGGAGATAACACATGGCAGTGTTATATTCCAGACGGGTTAAATGCAAGTTGTTGATAATTAATAGGGTAGAACAATGTTCAGTTTGATCTATTTAGCTTGTTACATTCGGGTTGTTGTATTATCAACTTCTTGTAAAGCATTAGATTCTTATTTATTACGTATAGTATGAGTGCGCACGTACAGATTTTCCATATAATGCTTTATAAGACAAATTAAATATTTTTAGTTACACATGAATTTCTAAAACCTTTTTTATGTTTTATCATAAATTTGGATAAACGTTCCTTGCTGTTTCAGTCATTCAGTATTAATTTTATAACTATAGTAGAAATAATAATAGAAATTTATAGTTATTTGTGATCAACTATTTGTGATAGAAGCTGATGGTTATTTGTGTTTATTACCCGAACGGCGTTGTCGGCATCAGTAGCCGAGTGGTTAAAACCGCTGAGTACTAGGAATTCATACCCAGGAGAACGGGTTGGCTCTATGGTCCATTTCCATGATTTTCCCCATGTGTAACATAAATAAATACAAACCACTTTCTCCTAGAAAGTCCTCCACGAAGACATTCCCAGTATGGAGATATTCCTTGTATGCTCTGTCACATTGAAGTAACATAGCCAAACATAACCCGAACCAGTGTAAAAAATATTGATCTCTCTTTCCTCTCCACAGGAGTTGCAAAAATTAAAACATTCCTTAAAAATTTAGATCTAAATTATCGAAAATGTGGTGGACGACAATTTGTCACTGCCTGGATTTGGCGACTAGGTCCTCTCCTCCCCAAATGTCCTTTAAGCGGGGAAGATTAAAAGGTTTTTTCCTCCATCCTTACCACTTGCTTTCGTGGTGTAGTTAGAAGCACGTCAGGTTAGCATCAGGAAATACGGAGTTCCAATATCGGTGAGGGCATCATGTGTTTTCGAATTTTCTACTTAAAAAATGTAATTGATTCAATACACCTGCTTTAAAACACTGTACACAGTTATTTCTAATGTTTTGTTCCATTTTTTGTTTCTCAAGATCTTGCACCAGAAAAAGATACAAATTAGCCTGTAGAGACATTAGGACTTTTTTGGAAGCAGGCAAGATGAAAAATATGCAACCGCCTTCGCCGGGAATCGAACCACAGACCTCTGCAATACCGGCCGAGGGTGCTGAACCACTACACCACGAAGGACGCTAGAGAAGTGGTAGAAATACCTTATAAGCCTACGCGGAATAAAGGTTAGAGATGGATTTCTATTAAAGTTACTGTAAACCAATGATTGTTTATTGTAAGTCAAAACTGCTTGCATTAGTTTGTATTAAAATATATTGGCGCTACTTCTATTCCGTGCTGTCCTTCACGAGAGAAGTTGATTCTCCGTTCATTGGAGTTATGACAGAAGACTGCATGTTCTGAATTTAGCCCGAGCGGCTAAAAAAAAATTGTGTTAAGTTTATATAAACCACAAATCCTGCTAGTTAACTATTAGAAAAGTTTGGTTAACATTTAAATTGCGTTATATTCGATTCAGTGATAAAGCGATTATTGAACGCTACTATCAGTACCAACTTATTCTTGCAGGCTACTAGAGACAAGTTATTTTAGGCCCGAAACTGTAACTAAAGGCACTTCTTGTGTGCCTGTTCTTGTGATTTTGGGTCTACCTAGCAGATTTTCGAAGACCATCCTGTTCGACTCTTGGCAACAGTACAGTAAATTGTTCTCCATATTCAACTCATGATGCACTTCTGTTTTAACGAGCAACTAGTTCAGAATACTTTCCAACTCTAACCCACGTGACGGAATCATGCTCAGTTTAACCAAAGCTGGTGGTTATGACGTATTCTTTCGAAAGAAACGCAGAGATTAATGGAAATTTAAATACATTTTCCAAGAACCCCCTGCCATCCACAAAAACTTATATTTTGTTTATTTTTACCGGTCTTTCGCATTGAAAACCATGCAAAATATATAGCCAGGTGAAAATTCTAACTATAAATAAATTTACAGAGGAATTAACTGTAAGAGATAAGTTTCCCCGTTTACTTTTTTGTTGAATAGAAAACGACGCAATAAAGAATACCATTTAGAAATAACTTGCAGTTGCTTTTGAAAATAACCAACTTGCAGTTGCTGTGAGCTATTTAACTGCCATTAAAATAATCCAAGGTAAAATATTTCAGGGTTATTGAGTATTTAGTTAGAATAACTTCTCTTAAAACAAACAAGTTACAGCCTGAATTATTTATGAATATAAGATAAAAAGCAGGAAATTCTTACTCCTCTGAGTATTTCCTTATATTCCTTTTCTTGTTCAGTGTCCCAATGAGAGCAGAGCGCGAAAACTGTGTTCCCGCGAATACTCATCGTAACCTCCACGCGGCGCTACAAGCGCCAGGCGTGCGTTTCTCTTCCTCGTGCTTGCCGGATTATAGTCCGGTAGAAGAGAATGTGCGATCCTGGAGATTAGGACGCGTCTGAGCAATACTAACAGTTTCTGCGGTGCCACCGCTCGTTACCGGAGTGTCCCGACTCATGGATTAAATGTAACTTTAAGTTGAAGGATTATTTGGAAAAGTGAACTGAGAACATGAAAGCTTTGATTGTCAGTATGCTATTGTTTGCAGGTTTGCTCAAAGGTAAGAAAAAGTAATAAATGGAATTATTATTCTTCGCAGAAGTTTTTGATAAACAAGAAAAGTATATATTTGAAATCTGTGTCTAAAATCCATTGTCTCACATAGGAGCAATAAATATATATAAGGCTACTAAATTTATTTACGCTCGGATGGTTCTCAATAATGACATATATTCTTTAAAATTGAAAACTGAATATAATTAATTTCTAAAAATGTTTCAATATTTATACCAAAACTAACAAAGCTATTACACAGGTTTTTTAAGAATATATTTAAATAGTATTCATTTTCTTGAACTTTTTTTAAGGTATCACGGATTTTAAATTCATGAATTCTTTGGCAAAAATTAATAATATGCACGAGTTCCGCACAGCCTACTCCTTTCTATATTTTTTTGTGTTAGAAAAAAATCATCGTCTGTGCTATTGTACTATGAACTGTTAAACGTTTCTGAAATTTACATTAACTTTTTTGCGTGTTTTTAGATACATTTTCATTTATTCATTTTTTTTCAAAACATTCATTTCATTTCATTTTCATTTATTCAATTTTTATGCTGACTTAAATACTTTAATAAAATTAATAAGGGAATTAATATGTTACCTTTCGAATGAGAATACTTCTTCTATAGCAGCAAATATTTATTGATTTAACAACAGATTTTAAGGTTCGTGTTTTAATTATTGATATGAAAGACTTAGGTGAAATAACATTTCTGTTATAAACTGAATTACGCTACTGTACAATATATCTTTTGCTCCAATTTTGTTTAGATGAATAGAGCAATATAGAATTGTTTACTTACAATATATGAACAATTTATATATTTTTATATTACTTATTTTATGAACAATTTATATAAAAGTATATAAATTGTTCATAAAATAAGTAAATATAAAAGTATAATAAAATAATTCAAATGGTGGTGTAGAAAAGCGAATTTATAATTCCTGAGTTGAATATATTTATTATACAATATATCATAAATATATTGACATATATAAATATATAATCATATATATATAATAAATATATTCGAATATACTTATAGTATATTTTGAATATTTTATTTTACGGATTATGGATGGTCTGAAAGCATGCTTGAAACATTTCTAAGAGACCGCATTTTAATTTTAAGAGAAAGGTGCCTTAAAATAAATGAAGAAGTAATTGTTTAGTACATTAAAGTGGACGGACTAAACTAATTGCTGTCAATTAGTTTTGAAAACTGTTTCCGTAGAAATTTCTTTAAATACTTTGAATTTCATATATTTTAGCAAGATAAAATTATAAACTTGCGTATTAATAGTTTTTAAGCATTTAAAAATAACAGAAAGTTCAGGGTTTATTATTTTACAGTTTTTTAATTGATAGCAAAATTATTTTTAAAGGCCGGAAGCAATCAGAATAAAGTTTAGTGATCGTTTATGCTAATAAAATATTTGGTAATAATTTAATATGAGTTAAATACTTACATAAAGAACCATAAGAGGTAATATTAATACAATAAATAAAGGAATGAAAACGCTTTCAGAAAATGTTGAGTTAGATAGGAACTTCTCTCCGTTTTAAATTTCAATAAGCATGATAAAATGTGTTTAAATCCTAAACTTAACCGTCAGAGCTAAGATAACGGCAAAGCTTGATAAATAGAATATTTTCTAATGTTGCAAAAATTTAAAAGGATGATAACTTGAATTTAAATTTGATTCCTAATTGTATTTTTGTGCCTTAAGATAATGAATGTGCCCCATGAAAGCTTTCAACTTGCTTTGCCTAGAATCTGCGTGATACTTTTCTCACAAAAATAGATTTAGGAATCAGTTGCGAGTTAGAAATAAAATTTTTACCTGTTTTAAAGAAAAAGGAAATTTAACATAATTCGCTAGTTGATTGCCAGTTTGCACGGCAGACAGACCGGATGTTTGCTGAAAGAATATTTTGTTAATAGTTTATATATTTTAATTTGCATACAAATTTTCATGGGGATTTTTATACGGTATTTCCCCCGCCTTCTTAGCATGCCCTCGTGGTGTAATGATCAGCACGCTCGGCACGAGAGGTCCGTGGTTGGAGTTCCTGCGAGGGCATTGCTCATGTTTTCTGCATTAAAAAATATCCTTATAGTTTCTACAGTGGCGCCCGAACTAAAAAAGGCGGTGGATGGTGATACTCCACCACCAGTATTTGGCGACTGGGTCCCCTAATCTCCAGTCGCCCTTTAAAAGGAGAAGTATATCAGGTATTTCTCCCGCCTTCTTAACATGCCTTCGTGGTGTAATGGTCTGTACGCTCGGCGCGTATTGAAGAGGTCCGGGGTTCGAGTCCCAGCGAGAGCATTGCTCATTTTTCCTCTCTCCTGCTTCAAAATAAGCTACTGTCTCTACAGTTCTTCCATAAAATCTCAAAAATAATTTTACTCATTTAGGGCCAGTTTTTCTTCATTAATACACAATGTGTTCAGTTACATAACATGTTTGAAACGAAATGTATAGTTGCATGAATACTATTATTATTTACAGAACATTTTTACTCAATTACTTAAATTTAGAGAACTTAAAATGACATTTCAAAATTTGTTTACAACAATCAATTTAATTTTTAAAAACTTTTCTCTACGCAGTTGAGAAATTCATATTTTATCGGAGAATAAATGTCATGTTATAGGCTCAAGTGGAAACTAAATGTCTTTAATGACATAATGTGTATTCGCGAGGTGCTTTTTTATTTCAAACGAATCATTTCTGCTCCTTTCGAAAAGGAAAACATGAAACTGTTATTGTTATAAGCTTTTATTAGTTCGCTCATTGTGTTTGTTGTTATGGTCAAACGTTTCTCATCGATTTTTAAAGTGCTTCCTGGCAAGATAACGAGTTCACATTTTGTACACAATGTTTTTGGATGAGAATACGGTGTTACAAAGTCTTTTTCATTTTAAAATTTAATGTTCAAACTATTTTTGACGTATGCCTTCGTTTAACCAACAAACTCGAATTCTCAGCAGTTTGCACAATTGAAAAGAACAGAAAAAAATCTTTTAAATGATATATATTTATATGAAACTTTCATGTAATTTCTAGTTTTTTCGACTATTTGAAATAACAGAATTTTCAATTGAATAACTTAACTGATAACGTGATACTGAGATTAAAAAAAAGAATGAAAAGTTTTTCTTTTATTTAAGTCATAAAATAATTAATGAGTTTAAAAAAGAAAAATAATTTATCAGATATTTTAATGGAAACAGAAGATTAAATAGCGCTCATTAAAAAAATTCATCTATAATTTTATAGTACGAAAAATTAAAGTGTGGGTGCCCACATATCGATATGCGATAATGTAATTACATTTTCAAAAGCCATGACGTTTATAAATTGTTGTAGCTCGACGTTATTATTATTCGTGATACTGAATTATACATGAATTTAGCAAAGATAATTATTTAATCTCTTGTTACCTAAAAACTGCATGTTAAATTATTTTTCTTCTTGCCGCATTAATTATTTTATGAGATTTAAATAAAAGTTTCCTTATAGAAATTTTTGTTTTGTTTTTAACATCTTCATGTACGAGAATCAAAGCAATAATATGTTGAAAGTATTCGTATAACTGCGTATTCTGTCTAGGGCCAAAAGAAGCGCTTGTGCAAGAAAAAATGAAAGCTCATTTTTTTGAGAACAAGGAAAAGTGTCATATTTTACTAGTAAGATACTGAGGAATGTCATATATATTTTGCCGCAGAAATAGGTCTCTTACGCTTGTCTTTTTCTCTTTTTTACCAGTGAAGTTACTTTGCTATTACAGTAATGTAATGAATGCTTATACACCTTTTAGCAAATGCTTGAAAAAAGGGACTTCTATTTTGGAAGCCTATTAATGTACAAGTAGCATACATGTTTTCTTTTAATTATTTATATTTTCACTAAAGAATAGACTGACTTTCTTACCTGCCTCGTCTTATACACTAGTGTGTAAAATTAAGATAAGTTGCAAGTTATGTCTATTTTTACCAGCAGTATTGAACCGAGGGTACTAATTATGTCACCAAAGATTCATGACATTGTTTAAACTCGAATACGTAAGCGTACACGTGCGTGTCTGCGGATCTGTGAGTGTGGAGGGGATATAAGCACAAGAGGTGCATCTCCATCCCAACATTCGCAGTGTTTTCCGCAAACGTTGGGTAATCTTTATAATTTATCATGTAAAATGAGTAACTACGAACCTACGAATGATGGAATGAGATGAAACGTTGTCGATAAATAGAAGGCTGGCCAATTACAAGCGAAGGTGGCTACGGAGCTCAGTGTAACTCTCAGTGTTATATGCAGTTTGTGGAAACAGTTTCTGGACACCTTATCCATATCGCTGGGACATGGCTATTTTCGACAAATGATCCACAACGACAAATGAGAATCATTATCTGGCACTTTCAGAGTAGCAATATAGGACTGCTAGAGCTTCACAGTTCTCACGTGAGTTGCATACTGCCACTGGAGCCCCACTTTCATGGTCAACAGTTGCCTGAAGGCTTCGTGAGATAGGGTTGTATGCCAGAAGAATTGCTGTTTGCGTCCCACATCACTGCAGCACACAAGAGAGTGCATTTAGCATGATTTAGCATGAGAGTGCGTTTAGGATGGTACAGACAGCATGCGCCTTGAACTAGACTTCAGCTGAGCACCGTGCCTTTTACAGATGATGCGAGATTCAACCTGGACACTGATTCGCTGCATACTTGTATCTGGAGAGAGCTTGTTGGAACATGATACCATCCCTCCCTCATCAAGGAAAAGGATCATTACGGTGGTGAAGGTATAATGATTTTGGCAAGCATTATGTTGGACTGCAGCACACTCCTGCATGTGTTTGACAAAGGCTCTCTGACTACTATGAGATATAGAGAGGAGTTTTTAAAACCGTATGTTCAAACTTCTCTTGGGCGCAGTTGTCCCGAGTTCTTGTTAATGGAAGTCAAAGCTGGTCCACATACGGCTCAT